CTGAGGGTGGGTGCGATCCATTGAGGTCAAGAAGATTTCGATCAGCCTGAGCCAAGAGAGAGTACCCCGTCTGCTACTAAAAAAAAAAGAAATTAGCTGGGACAACTAAAGTGAACTATATAAGAAAAATAGGCCAGGCATGGTGGGCACGATGCCTGTGAGTTCCCAGCTATCAGAGCGTGAGGCAGCCAGGATTGCTTGAGGCCCAGGTAGTTAGCGTGTGCTGTGAGTGAGGGCTATTTGCCATGCACTCTAGCTCCAGACAAACAGAGATGACGTCTCAAAAAATAAAGTAAGAGTTAAATTAAATACAAAACACTGCCACACAAGACTGTTCCAGTAATCACTTATTCATAATAGTTAGAAATAGAAAAACCAAATTTCATCAATGTTTAATTGGGAAAATAGAAGGGAGAGTAAAATGTGGTATATCCATACAACGGAGTTATTACGACCTTATAAACGAACCAAGCACTTGCTCCATTGCTATCCACATGGAGACTGAATAAAACTGTGTGGTGAAAGAGCCAGCACCAAGAGCCACACACTGCACGATCTCACTCTTTAGGGCTGCCAGGGGCTGGGTAGATTGAGAGAAAATGTGGAGTGACTGCTAATGGGTACGGGGTTTCTTTTGAGGGACATAAAAATTTTGTAAAATTGCTTGTGGTAATGATTGTACCACTATGAACTTTCTAAAAACCACTGGATTGTATACTTTAAATGGATGAATGGCATAGTATATGAATCACATCTCAATCTGTTATCTAAAAAAGGGGTAGCATTAGAGGCTTATATTCAATGAAACCCAATATAACCCACCTTTTGAATCCATTCATAACTACAAAAGAACTCGCTCTTGTACCTACTTTCTGTAGCTAAGGATCAGGATGTGCCAAAGTGCCAGGCAACTGTGCCCACACATGGCCTGCCCCTTACCTCATCGATGGCAGACTCCTCAATCAGGCGGGGGGCATCAGAAGACAGCAAGCCATGAGTTGCCATCACGAAGATCTTATATGCACCTCTTTCCTTCAGGGTCTCTGCTGCAGCGAGAAAGCTGTCGACATCATCGATGATGTCATCCTGCCAAATCACAAATGGAGCAAGAGGTGCATGAGCACTTTTGCAAGGGCAGGTTAGACAAGCAGGACAAAGGGTCTGCCTAAATTACCACGACGGATCTGCTCTCTGTCCCACTGTGTGCAGGCAGCATGGTCCCAGGCCCCGTGCTTGTGCTGCACGGCCCCCTCCAGGCCTTGCACGCAAGCTGCCTCCTGCATGCCACCTCCACCAGCAGAGCCGTCTCCAACCAGGCCCAGGCTCCCGGGTGAGAAAGCTGTTTCCATCTCTGCACCCTAGCTGGCCAGAGCTGTGTCCTCATAATGTAGGTGACACCAGAAATGATGCTGGAATAATTTTTTTTTTTAAATACATAGAAAAACTGTTACAAGATGCTTTTGACCATGGGTAATGGAACTGTGAGTGGCTCTTTCCCCCCTTCTTTTTGCTACTTTTCCTTATTTCTAAGTTTTTTCCACCAAGCATATGGGAAATATGCTTTTTTCATGTTATTACAATGGGGAAAACAACAGTGATTATTGTTCTTAATAACAAAATAGCTTTCAAGCAGCTGGGACTACAGGCACATACCACCACACCTGGCTAATTTTCTTATTTCATAGAGATGGGTCTGACTATATTGGCTAGGGTGGTCTTGAACTCCTAGCTTCAAGTAATCCTCCCATCTCAGCCTCCCAAAGTACAGGCATTTACAAGCATGAGCCACTGTGCCTGGTAGCTTCTAGAGGTTTCCAACACATAGACTAGGTTCCCAGGCTCTCAGAGTTATTTTAAACCCATTATGGTAGCCAACATTGTCTAGTGTTAAATAAATATTCACATGTTTATTTTACATGCATATATTACTCTTCAAACGCATGACAAAATTAAAATAAAAAATATACATACATTAATTTAAAAATGCTATTGGTAAAATGGTATAGCCACTTTGGAAAACTGTTTGACATTTCTTATCATACTAAATTCGCAATTACCAGGAAAATCAACAGAAAAATTAAAGTTCTCAAAATGCTAGGATTATAAGTGATTAATAAACGTATAGGAATTATAAAAATCACTTTCTGCTAAAATAACAATGATCAGAGGATAGAGGACAGAACAGTGGTAGCCAGGTGCTGTGGGCTGAATGTTTTTGTCCCCTCAAAATACACGTTAGAAACCTACTGCCCAATGTAACAGTGTTGGAAAGTGGGCCCTTTTTTTTTTTTTGAGACACAGTCTCACTCTGTTGCCCTGGCTAGAGTGCCATGGCATCAACCTAGCTCACAGCAACCTCAAACTCCTTGGGCTCAAGTGATCCTACTGCCTCAGCCTCCCGAGTACTGGGACTACAGCATGTGCCACACATGCCCAGTTAATTTTTCTATATATTTTTAGTTGGCCAATTAATTTCTTTCTATTTTTTGTAGAGACAGGGTCTCGCTCTTGCTCAGGCTGGTTTCGAACTCCTGACCTTGATCGATCCTCTCGCCTTGGCCTCTCAGAGTGCTAGGATTACAGGCGTGAGTCACCGCGCCCAGCCGAAGTGGGGTCTTTTAGGAGGTATTTAGGGCGTGAGGGCTCCAGCCTCACAAATGGAGTAATGCCGCTATAAAAAAGGCTCGTGGAAGTGGGTCTCTGGCCCTGCACTTTTGCTATGTTGCACAGAGTTAGTCCCCTTTTGTCTTTCTGCCCTCTATCATGTGAGGACACAGCACACATGCCCACACCAGACCAAATGCCAGCGCCTTGATCTTGGACTTCCAGTCTCCAAAACTGTGAGAGGATAAATTTGTGTTCTTTTTTCTTTTTTTGAGACAGGGTCTCACTCTGTCACCTAGGCTAGAGGGCAGTAATGTCACCATAGCTCACTGCAATGTCAAACTCCTGGGCTCAAGTGATCCTCCTGCCTCACCCTCCCAAGTAGCTGGGAACATAGGCATGCACACCATGCCTGACTAACGTTTTCTATTTTTTGTAGAGATGGGGTCTCGCCCTTGCTCAGGCTGGTCTCCAACTCCTGAGCTCAAAAGATCCACCCACCTGGGCCTCCCAGAGTGCTAGTGGCATGAGCCACCACGCCCAGCTTAATTTCTGTTCTTTATAAATTGCCCGGTCTCAGGTATTGTGCTGATAGCAGCACAAAACAGAGTGAGACATCAGGAGCTGGGGCCGGTGTGCAGGATGTGGCTGTGGCTTCGGAAGGAGGCAGGAGCTCTGGGGTGAGGGGCACTGCAGTGTCTGGATGGTGGCTGGCCCATTAACTGCCTGGGTATGACTGCACACAGCTGCGCAAACGCAGTGCATGTAAAACTGCGGCCGCGCAGCTGGGGATTTCCAGGCTGTGTTATTGTAACAAAGTTAAGTGAGACACAGGAAGCTGGGTAAAGAGAATGCAGTACGTCCCTGTACATTTTTTCCGACTTTCTATAAATCTACAATTACTTCAAAATAAAAAGGTTTTTTTAAAAAAGCACTTGAAATAGAAAGGAAACAAAATGCTGCTGAACCCAGAGCATTTTGTTACTATAGACTTTGCCAGTTGGGGAATAAATTAGTGGACAGCTATTAGCCTGTAGGGTGACATGAGAGATTGTCTAACTTGAAAAAGATGACAGCAAAATTACCAAGCACCGGGGATAACAAACAGGGAGCACCCACCACGGAGCTCGGGAAACCCTGCTGTACAACCACTTTATCTTCAGACCCAGCTCTGCTCCCAGGTACCTCAAAACTCTCCCATGTATACAGCAGAAAAAAAGTACAAGAATGTTCAAAGCAGTGTCATTTGGAAATAGAAAAAAAACGGATGTTCAATGCCTGCAGAACAGATAACTCAGTTGTGTAAGTTACACCAGTGAAAAAGAATAATGTACAACTATCTGCTACTACCTGAGTAAATTTCAACAACAGTGTTGAACAAAAAAGTCAGGAAGGACACAAAGACATTGTTTATGTAAACATCAAAACCAAGCCAAGCGAAACAAGACAGGATTTCAGGGTATGTGCATTCCTGGCAGACTGTAAGGATAAGGAAGGGCACAAATGGACAGATTTTGGGTTAGGGACAACCTCTGAGGAGGAGAGAAAAGAAAGAGCCCCAGGTAAGCCGACAGGAGGCTTCAGGGATACCTGGTGACTGTGCCATCTGCAAGTGGCTACAGGTTCCCCAGGTGTTATTCTAATTCTCTCAGCTTACATATGGCATTAGTATATTATTTTGTTGTACTTGTTTTAAATGTGTGAAAGCAACATGTGTTTTTTTTTTTTTTTTTGAGACAGAGTCTC